CTTGTTATATATATATATACATACATACATATATATGTATATATATATATTTTAAAGATTTATTTATTTTTATTACAAAGTCAGATATACAGAGAGGAGAGACAGAGAGGAAGATCTTCCGTCTGATGATTCACTCCCCAAGTGAGCGCAACGGCCGATGCTATGCTGATCCGAAGCCAGGATCCAGGAACCTCTTCCAGGTCTCCCACACGAGTGCAGGGTCCCAAGACTTTGGGCTGTCCTCTACTGCTTTCCCAGGCCATAAGCAGGGAGCTGGATGGAAAGAGGAGCTGCCGGGATTAGAACCAGCGTCCATATGGGGTCCTGGCGCTTTCAAGATGAGGGCTTCAGCTGCTAGGCCATGCCGCTGGGCCCACTTGTAATATATTTTTAAATCAAGGAGTATGATGCCTCTAGCTTTGTTCTTCCTTAGAATTGATTTGGCTGTTCCTGATCTCTTGTAGTCCTACATAAAAATTTTGGACTTGGCTTTTCTATTTTATAAAAAATACTATTCAATTTTTTAAATAGAGATTGCATTAAACTTGTAGGTCATATGGATGACTTGGATAATATGAATACTTTAGCAATAAGTTTTTCAATTAATGAACCTGTTTCCTTTCTATGTTTGTTTTCCTAAATTTATTTCATCAGTAATTTGCAGTTTTTATTCTACATATTCTATACTCCTTTTTTATTCATAAGTATTTCCTTTTGGTTACTTTCTAAATGGGACTTTTTCTTATTTCCTTTTCAGATATCTTTATTGTACAGAATTATATCTGATTTTTGTATCATTGCTTATATGTCTTCTAAGTTTGTGAAATCTGTTATAGGTTAAAATTATCTCATATATGCTAAGTCTTTTGATTCATCTTACAATATTAGTAGGTAGATAATGTTTTTCCTTTTTTGTCAATGAAGAAGCTAAAGTTCACATAAGATAAATACCTTTTCTAAGATGACAAAAATGTTACATGATTTAACTGTGACTTAAACGTGTTTAACACCAACATATGTGATCTGAACCATGCTTACTGTGCTGCATATTTCCAAGAACGTGTTCATTAAGATTTAAATTTTTTTTACATTAAGGTCATTACTTTGGGACCAGTGTGGTGGTGGTGTAACAGGCTAATGCCCTACCTGCAGTGCCATCATCCCCCTATAGATGATGGTTCATGTCCTGACTGCTCTATTTCCAAGCCAGCTCTCTGAGTATGACCTGGGAGGGCAGTGGAGGATGGCCCAAAGCCTTGGGACCCTGCCCCCACATGGAGGGTTCCTGGTATCAGGTCAGCCAAGTTCCAATTGTTGCAGCTATCTGGGGAGAGGAGTGATCCATTGGATAGAACATCTCTGTATCTCTCCTTTCCCTGCAAATTTGCCTTTCAAATAAAATACATATATATGTGAACCTTTAAAAAAAAGAATGATCATTACTTTGTGGAGCAGCATCATGACACAGTGAATAAAGCCACTGCCTGTGATGCTGACATCCATGTGAGTGCTCCACTTCCCATCCATCTCTCTGTCCTTGATCTGGGAAAAGCAGCAGAGGATAGCCCAAGTGTTAGGCCCCTGACACCCACTGGGGAGACTGGAGGAGACTCCTGGATCCTTGTTTTGGGTTGGCCACATGGTCTGGGAAGTGAACCAGCTGATGAAAGATCTCCCTCTACATAGCTCTTTCAAATAAATACATGATTATTTTAGTCATTAGTTTGATTTTGATTTTAGTTTTATACTTTATGCACTCTGATCCTGTTTATATTGGCTTTTGTGACAGATGTTTTAAGGTTATATACAGAGCTATGGACCTTGGTATGGGAAATGGTAAGTACCAAGAAGGGTCACCTCTGGGACTTAATACAACATCAGATGGTAGCCTTAAACTGAAATTAGAGTTTAGGATTTAACAAGATATAGAGGGATGGGACGTTGATTGAATTATCCTGCCTCTGATTTGGAATTTAAGGATCTTTATTAGAATGGAATCTCCTGGAAGCTGGTATGATGGTGTAACAAGCAGTGCCGGCATTCTATATAGATGCTGATTCTAGTCTCAGTTGCTCTGGTTCTGATTGAGCTCCCTGCTAATGGCCTGGAAAGGCAGCAGAGCACAACCCAGGTCTTGGACCCCCCCAATACCCTGTGGGAGACCCAGAAGCTTCTGACTCCCGGCTCAGGACTAGACCTGCTCTGGCTGTTGAGGCCATTTGGGAAGTGAACTAGAGGGTGGAAAATCTCCATCCTCTCTATATAAGCCCAACTTTTCAAGTAAAATAAACAAATCTTAAAGAATGGAGTTGTCTTAGCTATAGATATCCAGACTTAGAGCACCGATCTATTGTGCTCTCAGTTTCTTGATTCTGGAAAACCTCTTTTTCACTTCACAAGACCGTTTAGTAATTGGTGATAGGTAGGTTAAGAATGAAAATTATACTATGTCAAAGATAGTTCAGTGCTTTGTATTGTTTTGAATGTGCTCTGTATTCAGGTAGTGTAAGATATTAAGAGGTACAGAAGCAGGCCTGGCGGAAGAGCCTAGTGGCTAAAATCCTTTCGTTGCACATGCCATGGTCCCATGTAGGTACCCGTTCATATCCCAGCTGCTCCACTCACCTTCCAGCTTGCTGCTTGTGGTCTGGGAAAGCAGTTGAGGATGGCCCAAAGGCCTGGGACCCTGCACCCGCGTGGGAGACCTGGAAGAGGCTCCTGGCTTTGGATTGGCTCAGATGCTACCGTCGTGGCCACTTGGGGAGTGAATCATTGGATGGAAGATCTTTCTGTTTCTCCTCTCTGTGTATCTGGTTTTCCAATAAAAATAAATAAATCCTTAAAAAATAAAATCAGAACTAACTTCTGAGCTGCCTTCCAGCTTGGCTGCTTTCTAGATCTGGAAAAAGAGGTACAGGAGACAACTTTTAGCAGCAATTCCATTTGCTACCACGTATATCCTCCCAGGGGTGATTCGCATTTTTTTTCTAGTGGCCCTGTAAGTAGGCAGTTACTACCTATATCTTCAAGTTTTTTTACTTGGCAACATATTGTGGATATGATTTCTATCTGTACATTGTAAATTTTGTTAATCATTGTTTATAGCTGCAAATGATTCTGTTGTAAAGATATGCCATAATGTATATATTCAAACCTAGACAAATCCAATTTATTTACATTGTCTCAATCTCTTATTTGTAGGAAAAGAGCTGAAAGGAGTATTGTCATTTGATATCTAAATATTATATTTTTTGCAATACAGGACAAATTGCCAAAAGAGGGGCTCCCGTATCAAATAGCCTGTGCCTTTACAAGTTGAACAGCAGGCACGGCATCCTCCTCCATTAAAGCTTACTAGTTTACACTCTTAACAATAATATAGGAGGGTTTATGTTACTAAATTGCTAAATTTAGTAAATTGCTAAACTAAATTGCTAAATTGCTAAATTGCATTTCTCTTCTGATAGCTAAGGGATGAGCATATTTTCATGGTCAAGTATTCAGTTACATGTTCTTTATGATACACTATTTTAATTGTAAGCATTTTTTTTTTGAAGATGTATTTGTTTATTTGAAAGGCAGAGTGACAGAGGAATCGGGGGAGAGAAGGATGTTCACTTCCCAAATGGCTGAAATAACCAGAACCGGGCAAGGAGCTCATAATTCCATTAGTCTTCCATGTGGGTGGCAGGAACCCCAAGTGCTTAGGCCATCTTCTGCTGCTTTCCCCGCATGTTAGGGGTTGGATCTGAGGCAGAGTGGCTGGGACTCAGCTGGTGCTCTGGTATGGAATACAGCACAGGCAGCAGCTAAACTTGCTGTGCCACAATGCCCGCTCTTGATAAACTTTTAAAATATTGGATATGGTGTAACTGCTAAAAACTTAGCATTTTTTAAGGCTATGTTCTGTATTCTTTAAACAAGACTACTTAGTTTAGAAGTTAAAATGATGAACTCTGTAGTGTTAGGTTTATTCCTTGGCTTTTGCTGCTTCGTAACTTAGAGACTTAAGAGGCAGCTTGTGTTGCATTGTGGTTTCCTTATCTACAGATGATGTGCAACATTTTATGTACTAAATCAGAGAAAATATATGAAAGTACAATGTCCAGTGTTCAGTAAGAATGTAAGAATGTCCGCTATTGCATGTAGGCATGCATGTCTATGCAAGTACTTAACTTTGTTCAAGAAATGGTAGAATGTGATTATGTATTAATAATAATTGCTGATTTTATTATTAATAGAAATGACAGAAACATGCTGAAATGGTCATTGTAATTCACTAACACTAGGAAAATTATAATTTGTGTTTTAAATATTTTGATTAATTTTTCTGCAATGAGAATGTTATTTTGTTTTTGTTTTTTGGGTCCAGAGGACTTTTATTTTTCCTTCACACTTACTTTGTCATGAATTCCTAGGGAGTCGGCTTTGACAGCTCAGACTCCTTTCCATGGGTTCTGACACAGTGGGCTGCTCTAGGGGGACAGACTGGGATTCAACCCAGGGACCTTTCTCTTTGGCTTCCCTCTTTTTCAAATCATTTTCCTTCATGCTTTTCAGGAAGCTGTCTCAGCCCTTGGAGTGTTCAGTATGCTCAGTATGCACAGTTATTTTCTTGGCATGAATCTTGCCCTTGTTTGTTTACAACAATGCCAACAGCATGCTGGGTAACACTGTGGACTCTTCCAGGTTTTCCACGGTTAACACTTAATGGGGCATTCCTTTTTGAACAGTAGCCATGTCCTTGATATCTGCAATGTCACCTTTCTTGTAAACACACATGCATGTGGTCAAAGGAACAACTCCATGTTTCCTGAAAGGCCTGGACAACAAGTGGCAGGCACCTCTCCTCTTTACCTTGGTGTTCATCATCTTGGAGAACTACTGGAAGTTGGAGATTCCAGCCAAAAGGGAGAATGTCTCTATGATAGCAGAATATACTGTAAATACTGTTAAATGAATTTTATTAAAAGTCTCCTCCCTTCTTTTTTCCTTTATAGACAGAGAGTGCATGGGCTGAAGAATACGCCGAGAAGAAGAAAGGATCACACAAGCGCTCAGCATCCTGGGGCAGCACAGACCAGCTGAAGGAGGTTAGAGACACACGCCCAAGGGTGCAGAATTTGATCCTTTAATTAGCTGATTCATTCAAGTTGATGGCAGCAAAATAACAGAAAAGCACTCCTTTTTTTTTTTTTTTTGGTGTAATGAAGATTTGAGTAGGAAAACATGCATTACTTAATGTGTCTTTGTCCTATTTTTGTTGGAAGAGTTTATATTTTGTCAACATAAAACACTAGACTTAAAAATATTGTTGTGATGCAACATATTTATGCTTATTATTTTCCTGTATTTAGTAATGTTTCTGAAATTCAGTAATTTAGCTTAACCAAGTTGATTTTGGCTCTATACTCTGATTACAATTTTCCTTGCCCCTCATTTAAACCATTTGTATTTTATGCATACTCTTCCTTAAAGGAATGATAACGGGATATTCTTTTAAATTATGTTTAGTATGTCAAGAATTTGTGAATGTATTTCATTGCTTGACTTGATATATAAATACTCAGTATTTTGAGCTGCTAAAGATTGGATATTTGACAAAGGAATCTAAAAAATTTACAGTAAGGGCAATGAGAGACTAATTACTATTTTCAAACTCTGAAAGATGTAATGTAGTCTATTTTAAAGATTTATTTTTATTATTTTTGTATTGGAAAGGCGGATATACAGAGAGGAGAGACAGAGAGGAAGATCTTCCGTCCGATGATTCACTCCCCAAGTGAGCGCAACGGGCCGATAGGGTCGATACTATGCCGATCTGAAGCCAGGAGCCTCCTCCGGGTCTCCCACGCGGGTGCAGGATCCCAAAGCTTTGGGCCGTCCTCGACTGCTTTCCCAGGCCACAGGCAGGGAGCTGGAAGGGAAGCGGGGCTGCCGGGATAAGAACCGGTGCCCATATGGGATCCCGGGCGTGCAAGGCGAGGACCTTTAACCACTTGCGCCACTGCGCCGGGCCCAATGTAGTCTATTTTAATGCTGAAAATTTCCAATATGTTTAGTGCTTGGGAAGCTGCAAGAATGACAATAATGTTATAATGTTGAGACATAATTTTTAAGGTTTATTTATTATTTTTAGTGGAAAGTCAGATTACAGAAAGACAAAGCTCTTCCGTCTACTGGTACACCCCCCTAAGCAGCCGCAACGATCAGAGCTAAGCTGAGCCAGGAACTTCCTCTGGTCTCCCACATGGGTGCAGGATCCCAAGGCTTTGGGCCACACTCCACTGCCTTCCCAGGCCACAAGCAGGGAGTTGGAAGGGAAGTGGAGCAGCTGGAATATGAATCATCACCCATATGGAATCCCGGTACATGCAATGTGAGGGTATTAGCCACTAGGCTACCAAGTCCCATAATTTTGTTTCTTCTTAAAACGTAGATGGAACCTGGCACTGTAGCCTAGCAGCTAAAGTCTGCGGACAGATCTTTCTCTCTGTCTCTCCTCCTCTCTGTAGATCTGACTTTCCAATAAAAATAAATAAATCTAAAAAAAAAAAAGAGGTAGGTATATGTGTGTATGTGTGTAAATTTTGAATCAGATTTTGTGATTTGATTCTTAAAATCAAAGGAATTAGGCTGAAATTGTACTGGTTCTAATTAAGAAGTGTGTTTTTATGTAGTGTGAAAATGTTACATTCGTTTTTTCTTTTTTCAGATTGCAAAATTACGTCAGCAGTTGCAGAGAAGTAAACACAGCAGTCGACATCATCGAGATAAAGAAAGACAGTCTCCGTTCCATGGCAACCATGCAGCCATTAACCAGAGTCAGGTAGGAGCAGGGATTCCTCAAAATCCAGAAAAGAAAGGGATTTTTTATTTCATAGATAATTGTTAAGCACAAAAAAATGTCCAAAAGAGTATTTAAAACTGTAAATTCTGTACTGAATTATATACTGAATTGCAATCTTCTTCGTTAAAAAGAGTATTTACAGAATGATACTTCTGTTTATTCTAGCAGGTATAGCTAATTGTATATTTTGATTTGCCATATTTTTGTCTTCATCAGTTTAATAATATATTGGAGTCTGAATAATACAGAGATGTAAATATTAGCTGTGGAGCAGAGCCTGTTTCAGAGTCTTTCAAAGTCTTAGTGTCCTTACTTGAAGATAATGAGAATAATTAAACTGGTCTCTCACAGTAATTTGGCAGGGACCCAGCATGATAGCCTAGTGCCTGAAGTCCTCACCTTGCATGTGCTGGGATCCCATATGGGCACTGGTTCATACCCTGCTTCCCATCCAGCTCCCTGCTTGTGGCCTGGGAAAGCAGTTGATCATGGCCCAGCTCACGCTTGGGAGACCTGGAAGAAGCTCCTGACTCCTGGTTTCAGATCGGCTCAGCTCCAGCCTTTGTGGCCACTTGGGAAGTAGATCAGTGGACAGAAGATCTTCTCTCTTTCCTCCTTTCTGTATATCTGACTTTACAATAAAAATATTTAAAAAAAAATCATTTGGCAGGAAATAGCCTATAACTCCTTTGTGTCCTCTAGTAGGACTCATGTAGGGAGGATATCTCTAACCACATTGAAGTTGGCTGTGATGCTTTGGCTGAGGGAGAAGTCTAGATGGTTTTCTGTTTCAACAGTAAGGTCTTGAGAGATACAGGCAGCACATAGAGGGCTTAATGTTACAACTTTCAGATTATTTATCAAGATCATAAGGCAGGAACGAGCATGGCCACCCTATTTTTGTAAATAATGTTTGACTACAGTGCGACACTCTGACTTTTAATGTACTATCTGCGGCTTCTTTCCTACGACAATGCAACTGAGTAGTTCTGACAGACTATCTGCCCCCTGGTGCTTAAAATATTAATTGGACTTCATCTAAATTATGCTTCACAAAACACAATCAGGTAAGTAAAAAAGGCAACTTGCAGACTAGAAGATTATATACTTAGAAATTATGGATCTGATAAGGTATTTATTTCTATCTGGACTGTACAAAAGAGCTCTGGGAACTCAAAGCCAACTCAATGTTTGAGTGCACTGAGTATCTTAATAGTTTTTTAAGACAAAAAGCACATAATGCCAGTATAGTTTTCCTCACATTTCTATGAAATACCACTTCACACACATTAGAATGGTGATTTAAATGACAGATAATAGCATGCATTAGGAGAGAGATGGAGAAATTGGAACCTTTGTGTATAATTATTACTGGTAGAAATGTAAATTGAAGCAGTAGTTTTGGGGAAAAATCTGACAGTTCCTCAAAAGACTAAATGAAGAACTGCCGTGTGATTTAGCACTTTCGTGTTAGTTTTATCCAAGAGGATTGAAACTATGTGCCCATGTAAAAACTTTGGCACAGCCGTTCATAGTAACAGTATTCACAGTAGCCAAACTTTGAAACAGCCCACACATGTATCAGCTGACAAATGGGTAAATAAAATGTGGCTTATTTGTATAATAGAATATTATTTGAATTAATAAGAAAGGGATGTAGATACATGGAGAAGCATGGATGAACCTGAAAGCATGCTAAGTGGAGGAAATTATACGTGAGAGGACACACCCTGTATGGTTCCATTTTTAAAGGAAATGTCTGGAATAGGCGAACCCTCAGAGACAGGGTGGACTGGTGGTTGCTGAGGCTTGGAAAGTTGTGTAGAAATAGGGAATGACTACTCGTGGTGAAATAGGTTTCTTTGGTAGAATTCAGAGATTGTGACAGCTGCACAACTCTTCAATACCGGAAAAAGAAAAGTTGACACATAAATGGATTGAATCATATGGTATTGTGAATTACATTTAATAAAGCTGTTACTAAAAATGTCTACCAAAACCAAATTACAAATGTGATTGGAATTAGTAAGTTAAATAACTATATGTGATCTGTTCCCTTTCATGAGAGCGAGTAGCTGTGTCATTTTAGCATGCTGTTATATTACAGTGAGCAGTAATACAAGCATGATCCAGGCACAAGTCTGTTTTTGATCCAGTGTAACCAAACCTATCTCCTGTAGATCTTGAACTAATAGGAACTTTGTCCAAGTAGCTTAAACTGCTTTTTCTGCTTCCATGTCTCGGGACCACCTGCTGGAAGTATGAAACTCTACAGTTGTTTCTGTGACAATACCTATTTATTGTATTGTCCTGAGGATTAAATGGGAAAAAACACTTTTTTAAAAAAAGATTTATTTATTTTCATTGGAAAGGTAGATTTACAGAGAGGAGAGGCAAAGAGAAAGAGCTTCCATTCACTGGTTCACTCCCCAACTGGCCGCAATGGCTGGAGCTAAGCCTATCCAAAGCCAGGAGCCAGGAGCTTCCTCAGGGTCTCCCATATGGCTACAGGGTCCCAAGGCTTTAGGCCACCCTCAACTGCTTTCCCAGGCCACAAGCAGGGAGCTGGAAAGGAAGTGAAGCAGCAGGGATACGAACCTTTGCCCATATGGGATTGAGTATTTGGTCACTAGGCTACCGCAGTGGGCCCTTACTTCTGTATTCTTTTGGTCAGTCAAATCAGTATGGCCAGCCCAGAGAGAGGCATTTAGGTTCTATTTCTCAATAGGAAGTTATCTTTTAATCTATCAGATTTATGGTATTTTTTGAGGAGCAGTATTGCTCCATTGGTAGTGGAGTAGTATGCAGACACCATTTAACAAAAGATCTTTTTCTTGGCTATATGCTGGATTTATTTCAGTATAAAAGAATTCCCTTTTTAATTTATTTGCATCATTTTCTTCCTGTAAGTTTAGGGAAACTGCCCATTGGGAGCCATAAAGACTGCAGATTACCGAAAGATTTTCCAAAAATGACAGTCTCAAATGCTTAAAACGTATTAGTTTTAAGAGTATTTCAGGAAATGGACTGGTTAGAAAATGGAGCCAGTACATTTCAGAATTGACTGAGGAGTAAGTTCAGATGTCAGTTAAAAGAAGAGTGGGAAGTGCCAGCATTTTTATAACCAGATAAGCAGAATTTGGAGGTGAGAAAGGATCCTGCAGGTGTTTTCTGACTATTTTTCAGTCTCAGGCAAGAAAGCCTTGCCACAGGATTTTACTTCTTTAACCAGCCTGATGATGGCTTAGTTTATAGTAGCTTAGGAAAGGGTAAGAGCAAAGGGACGTGAGCTAGAAGGGAAAGTTTCCATCTTCATCTGAGGAAGGAGAGGCTGATAGTGGTGTTGGCAATGAATATGTTAATTTTTAATCCAAGTTCTTGCCTCCTGCAGAGGTAGAAATACTAAATGGAGATTGATATCACATGCAGTTAGGAACAGAGTTTATTTGGCAGTAAATGAACAAATGTACATTCATACATGAGTGTGTGCCACCCACACAGAAAAACGCAACATAAATGAGTCAGAGGATCGCCCATAAATTGGAAAAAACTGAAAGCAGTATATGGGTATATCTGAGAGTGGGTTAAGGTCTGTGTGAGCTCCGTGCTGGAAGAGCATACGAGACCAGAATGTCCACATGCCTTCCAGCAGTGGAAGGAGTGCAAGCCACAACAGTACCTCTGAGTGAGGCCCATCACAGAAAGTGCAAGCTGGAAGGTGCATCTGAGGCAGGGAGAATTCTGTCCTGCCTTGCACCTTTGGATATGCAAACAGTATGGAGTCTCAGCCTGAGCCTGAGCCTGAACCCTGGTCCTGGGTGCCACAGGTGCATCCTGAGAAAGTAGGCTTATCAAATTGACGTCAAAGAGACATCTTTTCACTGCAATGATGCAAGAATGCCAACTTGCATAAACTAACTTCGTGCCTTTCTGTCCCACATTAGTTACACTGTAAAAAATTAAAATTAGAAGATCAGTATTATGGTGCTACCTATAGTGCTAGTTTCCCCATATAGGTGCCAGTTCTTCCACCTTTGGTTCAGCTCCCTGCTAATATGTCCGGGAAAGCAGTGAAAGATGGCACCAGTACTTGGGCACCTGCCACTCACATGGAGATCTAGATGGAGTCCTGAGTCCTGGCTATGCCTGGCCTAGTCCTCAGTTTTGTGACTATCTGGAGGCTAAACCAGTAGACCAAAATTTTCTATCCTTTTCCCTCCCCGCTCCTTCTTTCCCTCATTCCCTCTATTATTCTGTACATGTGTTACTGTTTCATATAAAACTTCTAAAAAACTAAAATTGCTGCTTTGTACTGGAGTCTTTGTCTGGTAGTCCAGGAAATACTGATCCTGATATTGCCATCTAGAAAACAAGAATAGGCACATAGGCTATTACTTTAAAATAAATAAATAAATAGATAAAGGTGGGCCTAGTGTGATAGCTTAGTGTCTAAATCCTTGTCTTGCATGAGTCAGGATCCCATATAGGCACCAATTAGTGTCCTGGCTGCTCTACTTCCCATCCGGCTCCCTGCTTGTGGCCTGGGAAAGCAGTCCAGGATGGCCCAAAGCCTTGGGACCCTGCACCCGCATGGGAGACTTGGAGAAAGTTCTGGCTTCAGATCGTCTCAGCTTAGGCCGTTGCAGCTGCTTGGGGAATGAGTCAGTAGACAGAAGATCTGTCTCTCCTCTGTAAACCTTCCTTTCCAATAAAAATAGAAAGATCTTTTTTAAAAAAAGTTGTTTAACTGTGGTTTAAAATAATGGAGGAGGTGGCTCCTGAGAACAGGAATTGCAGGAAATGAAATGGCAGAGACAGGACAGGAAGTACCATGGCAGTACTGCGCAGGCCAGGCCTAGCCTAATTCAAAAGCCCCTAAGATTGGGAAGTACTTGGATTTTTTTTTCCAGGCTGCTAGTTTCTTCTTAATCATTCTAAACATAAATTTTCACCTCCCTTTAGTCATAATAGAGGTTTTG